GGATTTCGACCCACTTTCACAAAAATTTACACAACGTTAACCTTGGCCATAACTTCTGCATAGTTAGGGGACGATCATTTGATCCTGAGGGGGGGGGGGGGGGCTGGCAAATTTTTTTGAGACGGATTATTTATTTTCATGCCTGTCGTTTTCTTTTCAAGTATGTCTTATTTATTTTCTTGTACCTTGATCAATTGATTCTAAAAGACTAATCATTTATATACCATATTCAGATACAGGATTTGGGGAGGGGACAGGTATAACTTTGTTTAGGCAAGAGGTCTGGGGCCGCCATAAGGGCCCCAGTTGTTCCTGGGCGATGCCCTGGTGGAGGCCTAGGGAGTACCCCCCCCCCCCCAAAGCTCTTGGGATTTCGTGAATTTTAAGAGTAAAACCAGGCACTATTATAGTGGTTTTGGTTATTATGAACCAAAGTATGACATAATTATTACTGGTCATACCATACTTTGAATGAAGTAAGTGCAGGGAGCAAAGCCACCTGAAGCTCTTGGGTTTTTCTATATGTATAAGAGTATAACTTTTGTAGGAATTGGTTAGATGTGTACCAAAGTATGACATTATTAAGTCATATCATACTTTGAATAAAAGGGCCCAGGGGTCGAAGCCCCCTGAAGCTATTGGGTTTTTGTGTATTTTACAGAGTAAAACTAGGCACAGATATATTGGTATTGTCCCAAAGTATGGCATTATTATTATTATTATTATTCATATCATACTTTGAAATGTTAAGGGAGGGCCCGGGGTCGTACACATGTACGTCCCCCTTAAATCCTCAGAGTAAATTTTGTATTTTATCAGGAAAGTATAATTATTTGACAAGAAAATTTATCTTTTGTGGTGTATAAGAATTGGTTTGTATTTAAAGTTATTCATCACACCTACTAAGTGCATATTGTCATGTTGATAAACTGACTTAAGTATCCAGTCTGGTAATCTGACTTAAAATACTATTTGGTTCTAAATTGGCGAGCGAAGCGAGCCAAAAAATTTTTTGAATTGAAGACTTTTGAGATTAAATAACACGTAAATAAAAAAAAGGTATTTTTACAATATTTAATTATCAGAAGTCAAGGTGAGGTTATTTATTTTCTCCGTAGTGGAGGACAGATTATTTATTTTCAGGGACAGATTATTTATTTCCAAAATCTGCCAGCCCCCCCCCCCCCCTCAGAATCAAATGGTCGTCCCCTTAGGGCTAGGGTTTTCATATTTTATAGATGTTTATTTATCGTGACAACTTTTACAGGCGTATACATGCACATACTTTTCACCTTGACGTAAAAGTTTGACCCTCCTGTTAGTTATCTTTTGTTAGCACAATCGAACAGTTGGAGTTAAGGCTTTTGAATTTTGTAGTATTCACCATGCATCGGCCACCCCTTACTTCAACAAACGATATTGCTACCGTCGGAAAATTATCAAAAGGTAGATTAACAACAATTAGTATGTAATTAAAGTATAAATTTTGGATACATCTTAGCTAGCCAAGGGTTTCTGGTACGACAGTCTTCTTATGAACCCTTGGCATAGGGTGTAAAATAAAAATTTGGAATTTTTTTCCAAGTTTAATTGGAGTCTATCGACATCAAACGACCAATCAGCAATTGTTTTTCAGCTTACCTGACCTGAAACCTCATGAGCTTTTCTGATCACCAAATGTCCGTCCGTCTGTTTGTCCGTGCGTCTGTAAACTTTCACATTTTCAATTCCTCAAGAACCATTGAGCCAATTTTAACCAAACCTGGTACAAAGCATTCTTGGGTAAAGGGGAGTTAAATGAAGGGCCAGTTACTCTTCCAAGAGGAGATAATCAAGAAAAGACGAAAATAGGTTGAAGTTTTTAAAAATCTTCTCAAGAACCACTGGGCCAGGAAAGCTGATACTTTGTGGTCTCTGACCAGTAGAGCTAAAACATCTTGTTTTTATATCTGTACCTTTTGCTTACAATGTGAAAGGATGCCCACCACCCCGTCAACATTCAGATAATTATAAAGTGACAGATTAAGCAATGATCGTGTTTTTGTGTCCAGAGCCTTAATGATACAAATACCCATACATATTAGTCAACGGGAAAGTGCAGCCAGAGCGCATACCATGTGACTGCCCTTTAATTATATAGTACCATATTCTTTTAGAATGTACTGATTCTTCGCCAATTCGAAGTAAACTTATTTAACAATGTTAGAACAATGTTGTTTTTTTAGGTCACCTGAGTAAACTCAGGTGACCTATTGCTATCCGTTTTTGTCCATCGTGCGTTAACATTTTAATCTCTGCAACTGCTCAACCAATTTCTACCTATTTTGACACAAAGCATCTTCGGGTGAAGGGGAACACAAATTGTGAATTTCATGGTCCCTTCCCCCCCCCCCCGAGGGGTGGGGCCAAAACCACTAAAATTAATGCAATCTTTTAAAATCTTCTATACTCCTGGACAAGAAGCAGTCAAACTGTTGGCATGATTGTAATCAGCATTAAATTCTCTACCAAAATTGTGAAATTCATGGCCCCAGGGTCCGGGGTTCTAGTGCTTGGGCAGGGCTAAATAGATATTATCTAGTGAAAATGCATAAATTCTTTACAAATCTTCTTTTCTGCTCCTGGGTATAAAACCAATGAACTATGTACATAGTGATGATGAGGAAAGAAGCTTCTATGAGATTTGTGAATTTTATGGCCCCTGGGTCAGGGGTCTGGTGTTAGGGCGGGGCTCTAATGATTATATTGTGAAAATGCATTAATTCTTTTGAAATCTTTTCCTTTGCTCCTGGGTATTAAGCCAATGATCTAGTTACATATTTATGATGAAGAAAGGTACCGTATCCAAAATGGTTCATTTCAGGGCCGCTGGGTAAGGTGCACCGCGTGGGGGGGGGGGGGGGGGGTTACAAAGTGGAAATGCATTTTCTCTTTGTTACTCTAATCTACCTTTGTGTGTTAAGTAACCAAAGTAAGCATGCTAGGTGTACAGTTATGATAAACAACGGTGCCCCTTTCAAAATTGTAAATTCAATACCTTTTGGATTAAAACACGAACCAAATCTAATTGTTGGAAATTTGTTACATGATACTGTAGAAGTACTTTTTTCCGCGTGGTATTAATTTACGCTATGTACGTGGTCAAAAATTTTCCTCGGAAATTAGTCCAAGCGTACTTATATTAATGTAAGACTTATGTTGACAGTATAAAAAATCCGCGTAATTTTCTACCCGCGGATTAAAAAGAAATTGAGATTCCGCGGAATTATGACATCGTGGAAAAAAGTACGTCTACAGTACTCAGGTGTCCTATATGGCCCGTGGGCCTCTTGTTTATGCACATGTTCATGTGAATATAATTTTTGAATATCTACATGAAGCTGATTTTTTCTATAAACACTTAGACATCCATTGTGGCACCATCCTACCCCTGGAGGTCATGATTTGAACAAAGTTGAACGTACACTAACAGACAATGATTCCACATGAGTTTCGTCTTTCTGTGAAATTCCTTTAAAACGCTACTCTTCCTTCAGTTTTGGTCTGATTTTGATATAATTTGGTAAACAAGTAGACTACTCTAAGATACAAAATTCTGTGCATCGGTTCTTGTTTTCGATGTACGGTGTTGCAAAGAATACTAAAACATAGGTAATCAAAGATTACGAAGCTCAGCTCGACAAATGTTATCAGTGTAAGTAATGCAAATCTCACATCATATTTTCTTAATATCTAGTATTTATCACAACAACAATATTCTTGCAAGTTGTGTTTAACCCCTTACAGGGCATATACACATTTCTACGCATGTAGCGTGAAAAACATGTATAGTGAAACAAATATTCATAAATTTGTTAATACTGCAGATATCAAGGACTTCAAGTTCATTGGGATTAAACTGCTCCCAAAACTTCAACCTGGTCTCTTGTATGGAAAATATAGGTCCTATTCAGCATCCGAAGCAAGTTTGGTAGTGTCCATCCCTAGATGCATCATCCATGCAAGTTTGGTTCAGGTAGGGCTTATAATTACTTGGGAATGAAAATATAGGTCAGATCCAGCATCTGAAGCAAGTCTGGTAGTGTCCATCCTCAGATGCATCATCCATGCAAGTTTGGTTAAGGTAGGGTTTATAGTTATTTGGGAATAAAATTTAGGTCAGATCCAGCTTCTGAAGCAGGTCTGGTAGTGTCCATCCCTAGATGCATCATCCATGCAAGTTTGATTCAGGTAGGGTTTATAGTTACTTGGGAATGAAAATATGGGTCAGATCCAGCATCCGAAGCAAGTCTGGTAGTGTCCATCCCTAGATGCATCATCTATGCAAGCTTGGTTCAGGTAGGGCTTATAGTTACAAGAAAATGTATGTCAGATTGAAGCAAGTTCAGGCATCATCCATGCAAGTTTGGCTCAGGTATATAGTTACTTGGGAATGAAAATATGGGTCAGATCCAGCATCCGAAGCAAGTCTGGTAGTGTCCATCCCTAGATGCATCATCTATGCAAGCTTGGTTCAGGTAGGGCTTATAGTTACTTGGAAATGAAAATGTAGGTCAGATCCAGCATCTGAAGCAAGTGTTGTAGTGTCCATCTTTAGATGCATCATCCATGCAAGTTTGGTTCAGATAGGTCTTATAGTTACTTGGGAATGAAAATGTAGGTCAGATCCAGCATCCGAAGCAAGTGTTGTAGTGTCCATCTCTAGATGCATCATCCATGCAAGTTTGGTTCAGATAGGTCTTATAGTTACTTGGGAATGAAAATGTAGGTCAGATCCAGCATCCGAAGCAAGACTGGTAGTGCCCATCCCTAGATGCATCATCCATGAAAGTTTGGTCCAAGTGGGTCTTATAGTTCCTTGGGAATGAAATGTATGTCAGATCCAGCATCCGAAGCAAGTCTGGTAGCGTACATCTCTAGATGCATCATCCATGTAAGTTTGGTCCAAGTAGGACTTGTAGTTCCTTGGGAATGGACCTGCTCCAAAAAATTTCACCTGCAGGCATGTTTACGAAGCTATCTTAGGACTAAGAAATGTCTTAAGATATACTTACGACATTTCTTAAGACTAAGTGGGGTTTTCGAAAGTATCGTAACTTAAGAAAGTTCTTAAGAATTATCTTAAAGTTACGACAGCTTTTGACATACCTTAAGTCTATCTTAAGCAAAAATGGCTGCGCCCATGTTGCTTGCTCGACGAAATCGTCGTATCAGACGAGAGATTTTATTCAGGGATATTGACAACCCTCTTGACTACCTTGATGATGATGCTATAATAAGAAGGTATAGGCTTTCAAGACCCATAATTCATGATTTGTGTGAACAATTTCAAAACGAACTCCAACGTCCTACTATGAGATCTCATGCATTACCTGTCTCACTGCAGGTAATGGTTGCATTACGATTTTATGCAACTGGCAGTTTCCAAGCAGTTGTTGGTGATGTGCATAACATTTCAAGACCAAGTGTGTTCAAAGTAGTGAAAGATATGACCCAGTGTCTTGTTAATGTGGCCAATATACACATAAGAATGCCTATTACTTCAAATGAATTGGCCAAAAACATGAATGATTTCAGTTTAATTGCAAATATGCCAAATACCATTGGGTGCATTGATGAAACACACATTAGGATTAAATCTCCAAGCGTTGATGAACATTTATACATAAACCGCAAAAATTACCATTCAATCAATGTCCAAGGGGTTTGTGATGCCAACTTAAAATTTATAAACATAGTGGCAAAATGGCCCGATGGAACACATGATGCGTTTATTTGGTCAAATTCTGCTCTGAATCATTTATTTGAAACAGGAAGGATTGCAGAAGGATGGTTACTGGGTGACAGTGGTTATCCCCTGCGTCCGTGGTTACTTACACCTGTAAATAATCCATCAACAAATTACAATACTTCCCATATCCGTACCCGCAATTTTGTTGAAAGATCTTTTGGTGTATTAAAATCACATTTCCGTTGTCTTGACACAAGCGGAGGAAGTCTTCTACATTCTCCCCGAAAAGCATGCGATATATAAAATACATGGTTACTGTCTTGAAGTATAAGCGATATTTGGGCGAGGGTAAGAAAACGTTTTCGACCCGAGCCCAAATATCGCTTATATTTCAAGACAGTTATCATGTATTTTGTTTATCCTGCAACAAAATTTTACATTTGAACGTCCAAAACAAGCTATTTCCGACAGATTTAGGCACATCTCTGCAGTTGAAACTATGACGCCATGGCGTAAACATTGCAGTATACGTGACGTCACAATGCTTTTAGAACGTCGGAATACATACACGAGGCTTTATTAGGGCAGTGACCGGATAAAGCTTTGGTTTATTAGGTTACCTTTATTAGGTCAGTGCAAGGGGTAGTTGTAGGATAAATCACAGTAGCATGTGCTGTGTTGCACAACATGTGTATTTCTCGCCGCATACCCCTTCCAGACCCAGACCCACGAGACACAGGAAGAATTCGAGGGAATGATTATGCCGGGACCGTTAACGACGGTACTCGAATCAGAAGTCGTCTCATCACAGGACGTTTTTCTATGTGTATGATCAATCAGCTGTAAAAATTACCACTATACATGTATTAGTTTATAGATTTCGTCTTTATGTTTGATTAGACAATTGATTTTTGTCGATGTATTTATCAAAACAAATGTAGCACGGATTTGACAAATAAATGACATTGCGCATTATTTCTCTTCATTAATTTAAAAGATATTTATTTCTCTAACTAATCTTCCCTCCCCCCTCTGCCTGTAAGTCTCTGCCTGTCCAACTCCAAACGTTCCTTTTCGATCTCCAGCATCTGTCTCATGATTGAAAGCTTTTCCTCCTCAATGCTCAATAACTTGTTCTCATAACAATCCTCACTGTCTTTTTCCCTTTTCCTCTTCTTTGAGGGCCTGAGTTCGACGGACTCGTCGCATGAAGCTAGCAAATCACACTGCGGCACAATACTGATACTAGTACATGCACTGTCACTTGAACATGCAGGTTCAACGGTCAATGTATCTAAAAAAAATGGAATTTTTTGTATTGTTTGTATATCATTTGGTTTCTACAGATGTTGAATTACACAGTTATACACCATATGCTGCATTTACACATGATTTACACATGACATGGACGTAGTATTGTTTTAGAAGGAGGGGGGGTTGCCGGAGAAAAAGAATTCAACTTACACAAAAAATCAAGACAAACAAAAAAAGACGAAATTTATAGCTCGAAAAAGTCTATATCGTGCGGGGGAGGGAGGGGGGGGGGTTGTTTAGGTTTCAACGTCTTTCAGTACCATTTTTTTCATACAATACTACACTAACCTTGTTTTACTATACAAAAGAGTAAGGAGGGGGCGTATTTCAATGAACACTTACAATGATACAATGTAAAAAGTTGTGTTTGGACACCCCCCCCCCCCCCCCCGATGTTAAATTACGTGCCCGCATGCAAATAATACCATTGAAAAGTTGTGTTTGGACCCCCCCCCCCCCCCCCCCCCCGATGTTAAATTACGTGCCCGCATGCAAATACTTTCCAAGAATGCCAATATAGTTAGAATTCTTATGACAATTAGTGCCTCATGCAAATGCACAACAAACATATAGTAGTGAGATATAACCTGTTAACAACAGAATAACAAGGCTTGTATCTCTGTACAATGGGAGTGAGAGAGAGAGAGAGAGTTTACATATATTGTTGTTATACCGTTTTTTTCGTTGACCTCACAGGTGTCGATTCCTCCTTCTATACCAGTAATCGGAGTACTCCCAATTATCCCCACAATTTTCTCCTGTGTCGGATTCAGTCCTTGGGGTGGGGGGCCTCCTCCAGTTTTCGCCGATTCTCTCCGATTCTGTACTGCCTTCTTTTTGGTTTCGCTCATATAACACGACCATTTCTTTTTTACTTCCTCCACCGTCCTACAGTGGTCAATGTTGTTGGCCTTGTTTATTTTTTTCACAGATAGCGTCCCACGCTCTTTTCTTTGATGAATTAGTAGAGACGTTAGAAAATTTAGAAAATAAAATAGTTCTGTTTTTCTCAACCTCATCCAACAGAATTTCAATTTCAACCTGCGAAAAGTTTGGGCTCCTCTTTCGACTCATTCTTTTGGGTGTTTCTTGTCTAACCGGAATTTGTCAATGAATAAGAGCTCCACGAAGAAATTTGGCGCGCTTTTCATTGTTCAAGAATTCTGAATGATCAAATGGCCCTCGATTTGATTTTATATGCAACCAATATTACATTATTTCTCGAATTAAGATTATTATTTTTATGAATATATTATTTATATATTTTGTTTTATTATTTTTTAAAACATTTTTATTCTTTTTAATATTTTCATTTTGATGAAATGACGTGTGGCATTATATAGCAAAAATGACAACTCTCCGATTCCTAACAATGGTTTAAAGCTTTCAGTATTTCTATGTCATAATGATTTGACGTCTTAGTTTAGGATAATCGTAAGATAGCTTTGAAAAACAACTTACGATAATCTTATGATGATCTTAAAATTTTCTTAAGATATGTCTTAGGAAATTTCTTATGAACGATCTTAGGAAATTTTTGTAAACATGCCTGCTGGTCACTCATCTTGAAAATGTAGGTCAGATCCAGCATCCGAAGCAAGTCTGGAAATGTCCATCCCTAGATGCATCATCCATGCAAGTTTGGTCCGGGTAGGGCTTATAGTTACTTGGGAATGGACCTGCTCCAAAAACTTGAACCTGGTCACTCATCTTGGGAATAGACCTGCTCCAAAAACTTGAACCTGGTCACTCATCTGAAAAATGAAGATCAGATCCAGCATCTGAAGCAAGTCTGGTAGTGTACATCCCTAGATGCATTATCCGTGCAAGTTTGGTCCGGGTAGGGCTTATAGTTACTTGGGAATGGACTTGCTCCTAAAACTTTAACCTGGGACGCCAACGCCGGGGGTATAGCATAAGCTCATATCGACTTCGTCAAGGTGAGCTTAAATAGGAATTTTTGTGAAATTCCTTTAAAACGCTATTCTTCCTACAGTTTTGGTCTGATTTCAATACAATTTGGCGCACAAGAAGACTATACCATCACACTTAATTTATATTTATTGCTGCCTGTTTCAAAATGTCAAATCCAAGTGCTAGTTTTCCTTTGTTTTACGTACAGACCAGTAGAGCAACAGTCTCATCAGAGACTTCTGTTTTTTTTCTATAGGATTGTTAATTTGGATATTCTAAATGTAATGTTTTACACCGGGGAGGTCAATTAGTTTTGAACAAATTTCCAACTTCTTAGTGAGGAATTGTGTACAAGTGATCTCCCCTTTTAGTGTATCTCGAATTTTGTACATGACAAATTCATTCATCAAACCACACTTTGTGTTACTTTGATATTATATGGATTTGATATGGCCTGTAAATGTAAATGCACAAAAACCTAGTTACAGTGACCTTGTTAAATTACATTAGAGAACATATTTAATCATTTACAAATAGTAATTTTAATGCTATTCAGGGACTTTTTGTGCCTTTGGATACGATTAAAAAAAACAATGCAGACACTCTAATAACATTATCATTACCAAATAGCGTTGCAGACACCTGGTTTGAAAATTCTACAACAGTAGCTATCGCAGTCGCTTTCGAACGTTTAGTGCTAGTAGTGTTTATGTTATATGAGAAGTGCCAACGACTGATTTAGACAGAGGAGTATCGTTATATATTCCATTCCTTGAATTCATTCCCAGTCTATGAAATCAGAGCTTAAATTATAAAGAGAACCATTTAGTTTTCTTCAATGATTAGTAATTGGTACGTTTTGTTTTAATTTTTAATAATTTTGAAAATGAAAATGATTTCAAATCAAAATTTTACTTAGTTTTAAACATTTCTTAAGCTGGAAGGTCATCATGGGGACAAATACACTTCTCAGTGGTCGATATTCGTAATTATCAATACTCAACACGTGCATTACAGAGACGATGGTCATTGTTAGCTAAAGATTCACACAATTCAATTTCAGATCATGTAACATGCGCGACAAATAAATTGGATTCCGTATTGGTCCGTAAGGACGTCGCATGCTGCCGGCCATAGAAAGGCGGGTCCAGACTCTGAAGATCATTCGAGATTAAAATGGTCAACGAGATTTTGTCAATGATAGTGAACCAATGAAAAAAGCTTGTGTTGAAGATTAAATGACCAATTATTGAAAAGAAGATTACACTGGTCATGCGCTTGGCAGGACTCAGCTGTCGTGCAATAATTTACGTGACGGTTGATGAAAAGGGAGGATCTAGCCAGAAGGGTTTATTAAATGTATTCATGCTCAAGAAATGATGGGAAAATTATAAATTTAACTTAAAAAGACCACATATTGAATTAAATACCTTTACAGTATTTGAAGACTACATAGAGTATTGGCTTAACAGACACAATTTTCTTGAAACCAGTTAGCTGCAAACACTATTGAATATGCCTTCATCATTACATACATGCATGCATGGTAAATATATAATTATGCAGGAAACCTTGTTTGCTTGAATACGATACATATGCATTGTGATTAATGTTTATGTAATGTACCATGGTTATGTACAATTCCTTTCGTTATTAGAGTGAATTATCAGAATCAAGTCACGTTAACGTTCAAGCTTCTTATAAGTCGAAACTTAAAGTTAGTTTTTTGATCACTTATTGTCCGTCTATACACTCTATCAGAATTTCAATTTCTCAAGAGCCACTCTATCATTTGTAACCCAAGTTTGCAAAATACAGAGCATCCCTGGGTAAAGGGATTTCTAAATTGTTAAAACAAATGCCTTCCTTTTAGCGGAGATAATCAAAACAAAAATAAGATCGGGTCCTAAAGAAATCTCTTCAAAAAACACTGGACCAGAAAAATCTGAGAATTGTATAGAGTCTTCCTTATAAAGTGTAGCGTCTAAGTTGTTAAAATCATGCCCCCGATGACAGGGTGGGCCAAAAAAGGAAATCGATTACAGTAATGGTCGTGTATTCTCTTTAGCGATTTTGGAGGAAAGCAGAATCCGCTTAATCAAGTACATCTCATAGTGTCTGGTGTATTATACATCTTTATCTAACAAATTTAGATTGCGCCAAATCAAATATAAGCTAACTTGTTGAAAAAAATCATCAAATGTTGTACGCGCCAAATTGATACATATACATGTACAGCATTAAATTATATTATTTAAAAAAATCTCAAGAACATTGAGCCAGAAAAACTGAACGTTATATAATTGCTTCCTGGGGAAGTGTAGATTCTAAAATTGTCTAAAGAAGGCCCCGGAAGAAGGGTAAACTTAAGCCAAAACTAGTAATTACAATGGACAAAATCTTTTTAAAATCTACATTGTAAGAGGGACAGAGCCATGATAAATCATATCAATGGGAGGAATCCTCCCATATTTTAAATTAATTTTTTCAAATCACCGACACTGTCCTGGTTCAATTTTTTACCAACATGTACATGTAGCTGCATAAATTGAACTTAAATGTACATCGAGGAAAAGGACTTTTGTAGAACAGCAGGGCAGAAGTGACTCGGGTGTGCCCTGTGGCCCATGACCCTCTTAGAAATCCGAACAATTATTCAGAATATAGAACGTGAGGGGGTAAATTAAAAGAAAAATTAGGTAGATTAAGAAAGGTAAATTAAAAGGAAAAGTTAGTTAAAAACTATTACAAGAATAGAATTTTGTATTGATA